CGACGACGACGGACGACGACGACGAAGACGACGACGACGACGGCGACGACGGACGACGGAATACGGACAACGGACAACGACGACGACGACGACGACAAGAACGACGACGACGACGACGACGACGACGACGACGACGTCGACGGAACCCTTCTGCCCGTCTTGTCTGCCCCTCTGGGGGCCCTGGCCGGGGGGCCCAAGGGGGCTGCGGAGGCGAGGAGAGGGAGCGAGCACGCGAGAGGGGGGTCCAGCCGTGCCCATCACAGCATGCCAGCACGAGAGGGGGCCCCCCCGCCGGCGCGCGCAGGGCGGTGACGAGCCGGTCCCGGGCAGCGTCGGGGTGGTGCTGCTGTCGGGCGGCGTTGGCCACGCCCCCGCGCGAGGGTCGTCATGGGGGAGAGTCGGGGGCAACGACGGTCAGGGGGGGATAAGCACAGGGGGGACGCATCGACCCCCAATCGCCCACTGATCGCCGATAGGGACCCGATAGCCCCCCTATGTCTATCCCCCCCTGGGCCCAGGTCGATGCATCCCCCCCTCATGCCTATCCCCCTATCGCCGCCCCCCGAAAAGGGGTCCTGAGGAAACGGGTCCCGAGGTTTTTCTCAAACAGTGACGAAGCGTCCTGGTTCGTTTATAGGCCCACCAAAGAATGCTCTAAGAACTTGTTGTGGTCCGCACGAAATGTTTCCAACACATTTTAGTCTGATACTTTGTTGTTTTAACGCGTCGGGTTGATGTTCTAAGAACATTGTTTTTGTTGTTGGAACATGTTTGGGGTTCTACGAGCATTTCGTGGTAGGCCTATAGGAATGCCCGGACGGGCGGTCCCTGCTCAAGAAGCGGGTCCCGAGGCTTTGCGCCGTTTGCAAGCTCTCGGGGCCCCACACGGGCCCTGGGATTGCCAGGAAACGACCTGGGATGAAGAGTTCGCCCTAGGGGGGGGGAACCCCACGGTTCAGGACCCGATTCCCTCGGGCCCCAATTCCCCCACGCCAAATGGGGGCGTGGGGGAGCAGCGGGAGCCAGGGCGGGAGCGGCACAAGCAGGGAGGTGATTACGAGGGAAAGGGGTTCCTGAGGCTTGATATGTATCTCCGCCTTAGGCCGTCGTGGGATGCGCCTCGTTGGCTCGCAGGTGCGGGCGCCGCTGCCGGAGCTTTCGGCGTTTTCGTCGTGCCCTGGGCGCGCATATCCGATTTGGTTTGGCCCGCTTCCCCGAGACATGTCGCAAGTACAGCGTGGTTTTTCTGGGCCGTTTCAGTTGAGGTTTTTTCCTCTTCCTTCTCCTCCTCCTCCTCCTCCTCCTCCTCCCTCCGTTGTCCCTCATCCCTCGTACCCCCTACTTCTCTTCATCCCTAATCCCTCATACTTCCGCCCTTCCTCCCTCCCTAATCCCTCCTTCCCTCATCCCTCATCCATCCTTCCTTCACCCTAATCCTCACCTCCCTCCCTCATCCATCCATCCCTCTCTCCTCCTTCGCCCCTCCCTCCCGCCTCCCTCATATATCATCCTTCTCTTCGTCCCTTCCTCCCTCCCTCATTCCTCCTTCCCTCACCTCTCATCCTTCCTTCATGCCTCCCGCATCCTCCTTCGAGAAGTGGTACTGGGGACGCGGTCTCTGGGGAAACGGTTCCGGGGAGGAGGGTGCACATATAGGAAACGGTTCTTGCAGGGAAGAGGGTCTAGAGAAACGGATCCCGGGAAGCTGTTCCGGTGAAATGGTCCCAGGGAAACGAATACGGGGCAGCGGTTCCGAAGAAACGGTTCCGGGGAAACGGTTCAGGGGAAAAGGTTGCGGGGAAACGGTCTTCTGGGGAAACGGTCTTCCGGGGAAGAGGATTCCGGGGAAAAGGCCTTCCGGGGAAACGGTTCCGGGGAAGCGGTTCCAGGGAAACGGTTCCCGGGGAAACGATTTTGTATCGCCCACGCCCATGCGCGGAGAACCGCCGCGTATTCCCATTTCGTTGTTGAAGGAAGGTGTGTTTGCTTGGGGCTTGAATTATGCGCGTTTATTTCGCCGACGTTTTCGTTCCTACCGCAGCAGCGAAGGCAGTAACATTGAAGGCCAGGGGTGGCCACAGGGCGGCGTGGTCGGTTGGGCTTCCGATCTGAAGCGTATGTTTCTTTTCTACGGGTACAGAGTGAAGGGATGGGGGCCCAGAGGGAGCGCATCGCCGCTCAATTTCGGACCCCTTTTCGCGGGATCCCCATCATGTGTATCGTGGTGCTTTGTCGGTCCTCATCGAACAGGTGCCATCATGCTGCGATGGGATCTAGTAGTTGGAGTAGTCATCAAAATCACGTCTGCGCAGTTGCGGCATGGTGCGAGGTACAATACGGCATAGCGGCGGCAGAGTACAGAAATGCACAGCAGCGCATTGCATGCATTTGAAGGCACACCATGGTATAGCATAGCCTAGCATAGAGCATGTAACACTGTACGTCGTACAGGGTAACATGGCAGCCTGTATCATACCAGAGAAATCGCGAAGGATTGCAG